TAGTAATCGTGCTTAAAGTATAAATTGTGTTGAATGAAAAAAAATAATAAAAGATTAAAAAAGGGGGAACATGGTAGAAAATAGCCAATATACAAGTTGGTCAACAAACAGCATTTTTTTTTTTTTAATAGTAAGACATGGATTGACATTTAAAAGTATGGTAGGTTACATGGAGTTAATTAGGTAGTGCTTAGTTTTCATCTTAAACTGGTTGAGAGAAGTACAATCTTTGACATAATTGGGAAGGTCATTCCACATTCTGGGTCCCTTGATTTGTAGAGCCTTCCTAGTTTGATTAAGTCTAATTCTTGGAATATCAAATAGGTATTTGTTTCTGGTGTGGTGCACATGAGTTCTGTTACAACCTTCTAGGAAGCATTGAAGGTCAAGACTGATATTACAATTCAGTTTTAAATATATAGAGTACACAAGAGAGGATGTGCAGTGCCTTAATATATCTAAAATATTTAGAGATTTGAGTAAGGGTACTGAGTGCTGTCTGGGGCCATTGTTAGATATTGTTCTAACAGCAGCTTTGTATTGGGTAATTAGAGGACGTAAATGATTTTGGGTAGTAGAACCCCAAGCACAAATACCATAGTTGAGATAAGGACAGATGAGAGTAATAGTGTCACCAGAGCAGGGTGAGGAACAAAATATCTGATCTTAGAAAGAATGCCAACAGTTTTAGAATATTTTTTTTGCTATATTTAGAATGTGTCCCTGGAAATTCAGCTTGTTATCGATGAGGACACCAAGGAATTTACCATCAACTTTACTACTGATTTGTATATTGTTTATTCTTAAATTAATTTCATTTGAGGATTTATTGCCAAACAAAATATAGAAAGTTTTGTCAATGTTAAGGGTGAGTTTGTTAGCAGTTAGCGAAAGATGGACTTTATTTAGTTCAGTATTCACAGTGACATTTAGAGCAAGAAAGTCCGGACTGGAGAAGATGAAAGTTGTGTCATCAGCAAATAAGATTGGTTTGAGGTGTTGAGAGGCATTTGGAAGGTCATTAATGTAGATGAGAAAGAGGAGAGGGCCAAGTATCCTGCCTGCAGAACACCGATGTTTATAGGTAGTGTCAGAGAAATGGAATTATTCACAGAAACAAGCCTGTCAGTAAGGTAGGACTGAAGGTATTGCAGGGAGTGACCTCGGACTCCATAATGATGTAATTTAAGAAGAAGGTTTTGGTGGTTGACAGTGTCAAGAGCCTTACGTAGGTCCACAAATATCCCAACAGGGAACTAATTTTTATCAAGAGCTGCATGTATCAAGTTAATCATACTAATAAGTGCATCAGTAGTGCTTTTTTGGGGATGGCATCTAACTTCAACACTGACAGCTTTTTCTAGTTCTTGCTTGGTTTATGAGGAGCTTCTACCTTTCATAAAAGAACAGTATAATGAAATATCTTTAAATCTCTATCTTTTAGGATGAAGAGTATTTCTCAAAATAAAATAACTATGTAGGACATGGTGATAGCACAATATTTTCATGATGAAGCACAATTTCCAAATTATATATTAGATAAAAGGTAAGTAAATATACTAATATGTGCCTAATAATCCATCAACATTATCTTAATCACCTCACACTAATTTCTTTTTAGCCTATTGTAAGTGTTTCATCTTGTGTCTCGTCATATCTGTAAGGGACTGAATCTCTTCCCACACCCTGAACACTGGTGAGGTTTGACACCCAAATGCACAAAAGTGCTGCATTATTACTTAACGTTCTCTGAATTGTTTGCCACACTCAGCTAATTTAAAAGGTCTTTGATCTGAGTGTACTATCCTGTGTGTCTTCATATTTCCAAGTTGACTGAATCTCTTCCCACACTCTGGACACTCATGAGGTTTATCATGTGAATGCACTAGCATGTGTTTCTTCATATGTCCTAGCTGACTGAATCTCTTTCCACACTCTGGACATTCGTGTGGTTTGTCACCCGAATGTACTAACATGTGCTGAATTATAGTTCCACGGTCCCTAAATTTTTTGCCACAGTCATTACATTTGAAAGGTCTTTCATCTGTATGCACCTTACTGTGAGTCTTCATACTTTCAAGGAGACTGAATCTTCTCTTACACATTGGACACTCGTAGGGTTTGTCACTTGAATGTACTAGCATGTGTGTCTTCATACTTCCCAACTGACTGAATTTCTTTCCACACTCTGGACATTCGTAAGGTTTGTCAGCCGAATGTACTAACATGTGCCGTATAATAGTTCCACGTTCTTTAAATTTTTTGCCACACTCAGCACATTCAAAAGGTCTTTCATTACCATGCCTGATCTTGTGCCTTTTCATATGTTCAAACTGACTAAATCTCTTCCCACACTCTGGACACTCGTGAGATTTGTCACTTGAATGCACTAACATGTGCCTCTTGACATGATGAAGCCACTTGAATCTCTTCCCACACTCTGGACATTCGTGTCCAGAGTGTGGGACCCTGGAACCCTTGTCCCCTGAATGTACTAACATATGGCTCCTCATACTTTGAAGTAGATTGAATGTCTTCCCACATTCTGGACACGTATGATGTTTGTCACCTGAATGCACTAACATATGCCTCCTCATACTTCCAGGACGACTGAATCTCTTACCACACTCTGGACACTCGTGTGGGTTGTCACCCGAATGTACTAACATGTGCTGTATTATAGTGCCACGTTTCCTAAATTTGTTGCCACACTCAGCACATTCAAAAGGTCTTTCATCCGAATGAATCTTCCTGTGAGTGTTCATATTTCCAAGCTTACTGAATCTCTTCCCACAGTCCAGACACTCGTGAGGTTTGTCACCTGAATGAACAAACATGTGTGTTAATATCGATTTTCGCGTTCTAAATTTGTTGCCACACTCAGCACATTCAAAAGATCTTTCATCCGCATGCACCTTCCTGTGAGTCTTCATACTTCCAAGCTGACTAAATCTCTTCCCACACTGTGGACACTACTAGTGAGTCTTCATCTTCATGATAGGTGCAGTTTGTGAAAGATTTTCTCTGGATGACGGCACGAGTGCTGATGATGGGAGACGCGTCAAGGCTTGAGTGTTGTTTCGTATTGTTAGATTTGATGTGAGCACTTGGCGGTCAATGATGGTGCTTCCTCTTTATGATAGGTGCAGTTTTTATCAATGTTTTCCCTTAATGCTCATGCTGGGCATCACCGGCGAGCGCTGCTAAAATGGCGGCAGTCGCCCACGCTCTCATCACCTAGGCGTTCCAATGTTTTTTATCTGGTTCCTAATATAATTTTTCATTCTTCTTATTTTTGTGTATTCCTGGTCATTTACGATCAACATTTTTATTTATCTTCATGGTGTTCGTTCAAAGAATGTACTTGGAATAGTTTCTTTAAATAATATTGCACCCAATTATACTTTTTGAAGGATACAGCTACGTATATGCGCTGGTTTGTGTTCGCTGCTGTTCTCGTCTGAATAAATATATGGCACTTGATCATATAATTAGCGCTTCCATTAATAGTAACAAGAGACTTTGAACTAGGTACCCCGCAGGGAGGTGTCCTCAGTCCTACCTTATTTAATATCTTAATAAACACGCTGTTAAACTCTGTACCGAGCAAACCCAACGTCCACATCATTAGCTATGCTGATGATATAATGATACATACCACTGGGTATGTTAACACACAGAACACTCTTAACTCTGTATTAGACTCATGTCAGGACCTAGGTTTAGTTATCTCATCAGAGAAAACAAAGATACTAAATCGACGCCCACCCAGGCAGGGAGGAGCTGTTCGCAAGATGCAACTGTCTGATGGCTCTTAGCTTGACTATGTAAACAGATTCAAATAGCTTGGCCTTGAGGTGCTACTGTATGGTCCTGTTGTATTCAGACTCTGTCGTCAGTATAAAGAGAGGCTCCGAGCTCTCAAGGCTGTTGCAGGTTATCACTCAGGCTATGCAATTATGTTGACTCATTGAGAGGGATACTAAGGTGAGACAAACCACATTGTGAGAGGAAATTGTTGAGGTTATCCTCATTAGCAGTTGTAAACATTTTACCTTCTGAGATCTTTCTCGCTTTATTCATGCCATCTCTAACGAAGCATTGATGAATCGCAGCTGGGTTTTGATTACGGATTTGACGCAGGCGGTGGAGGAGTTGCTTCAGGTGATTCAGGTAAAGTACATATACATACAAGGTGAGATACAAAAGTTGATGGATTTATAGATAGAGCTAGTACATACAATGCCTAAAGCCACTATTACGCAAAGCGTTTCGGGCAGGAAAAACACTAAGACTAAAACTTAATACTAATTTAGATTAAAGTATAAATTGAATTGAGAAAAAATGAAAACAATGAAAAAAAGGGGGGGAACATGGCAGAAAAAAAGCAAAAATATAATTTGGTCAACAAACAGCATTGTTTAAAATAGTAGACATGGGTTGACATTTTGGGGGTGAGGTAGGTTACCTGGAGTTAATTAGGTAGTACTTAGTTTTTATCTTAAACTGGTTGGGAGAGGTACAGTCTTTAACATAATTGGGAAGGTCATTCCACATTCTAGATTAGGTAGATTCCCCATACTGCCAGTGGTGTCCGACCCAGGAGAATACAGTGGAACACCCTTTTTTTTTTAGATATATACAAGAATTGTTACATTCTTGTAGAGCCACTAGTACGCGTAGCGTTTCGGGCAGGTCCCTGGAATACGATCCCCGCCGCGAAGAATCGTTGTTACAACCAAGTACCCATTTTACTGTTGAGTTAAACAGAGGCTACAGTTAAGGATTTGCGCCCAGTAAATCCTCCCAGGCCAGGATACGAACCCATGACAAAGCGCTCGCGGAACGCCAGGCGAGTGTCTTACCACTACACCACGGAGACATACTTCATTGCCCTCGATTTCATAGCGCTCGTCTCAGACTACAAAGTACCATTCGTAAGGTGAATATTTCCCGCCTCACGGTTCCCGTTCTCCTTGACGGGGCAGGTGCGAGAGCCGAAGACGTCCGATATGACATCCTTCGTCATACCTTTCGCTTCATCTGTCATGTTCATGGCCTGAAGAGACTGTAAAATATGTGGCCTGAGGAGATTACAGGGTCTGTGGCCTGAAGAGACTATAGGGACCCCCATCCTTCTTTGCTATTTTCCGGTGTAAGGCAGCCGGAGTGCATCCGATCCCTTGATCATCGTCGCCCTACACAACAACAACAACTCTCAAGTACTGTATACCAAAGTTATGATATATCGCTATAGTTTGATGACCAAATTTTTTATAGGTGATTTTTGGAGGGTGTGAGTGAGTGTAGGAGTGTAGGAGAGTGGTGTGTGTGGAACAGACGATAAGGTCTTTGGCTGTGTGTCAACATTGGCTGGGTCGCTTCTCTCTGTTTACACCCTGACGGTACACCCTGACATTATACCCTGACGGTACACCCTGACATTATACCCTGACGGTACACCCTTACATTATACCCTGACGGTACACCCTGACAATATACCCTGACGGTACACCCTGACATTATACCCTGACGGTACACCCTGACATTATACCCTTACGGTACACCCTGACATTATACCCTGACGGTACACCCTGACATTATACCCTGACGGTACACCCTGACATTATACCCTGACGGTACACCCTGACATTATACTCTGACGGTACACCCTGACATTATACCCTGACGGTACACCCTGACATTATACCCTGACGGTACACCCTGACATTATACCCTGACGGTACACCCTGACATTATACCCTTACGGTACACCCTGACATTATACCCTTACGGTACACCCTGACATTATACCCTGACGGTACACCCTGACATTATACCCTGACGGTACACCCTGACATTATACCCTTACGGTACACCCTGACATTATACCCTTATGGTACACCCTGACATTATACCCTGACGGTACACCCTGACGGTACACCCTGACGGTACACCCTGACAATATACCCTGACGGTACACCCTGACATTATACCCTGACGGTACACCCTGACATTATACCCTGACGGTACACCCTGACATTATACCCTGACGGTACACCCTGACATTATACCCTGACGGTACACCCTGACGGTACACCCTGACATTATACCCTGACGGTACACCCTGACATTATACCCTGACGGTACACCCTGACGGTACACCCTGACGGTACACCCTGACGGTACACCCTGACATTATACCCTGACGGTACACCCTGACATTATACCCTGACGGTACACCCTGACATTATACCCTGACGGTACACCCTGACATTATACCCTGACGGTACACCCTGACATTATACCCTGACGGTACACCCTGACATTATACCCTTACGGTACACCCTGACATTATACCCTTATGGTACACCCTGACATTATACCCTGACGGTACACCCTGACGGTACACCCTGACGGTACACCCTGACAATATACCCTGACGGTACACCCTGACATTATACCCTGACGGTACACCCTGACATTATACCCTGACGGTACACCCTGACATTATACCCTGACGGTACACCCTGACATTATACCCTGACGGTACACCCTGACGGTACACCCTGACATTATACCCTGACGGTACACCCTGACATTATACCCTGACGGTACACCCTGACGGTACACCCTGACGGTACACCCTGACGGTACACCCTGACATTATACCCTGACGGTACACCCTGACATTATACCCTGACGGTACACCCTGACATTATACCCTGACGGTACACCCTGACATTATACCCTGACGGTACACCCTGACATTATACCCTGACGGTACACCCTGACAGTACACCCTGACATTATACCCTGATGGTACACCCTGACATTATACCCTGATGGTACACCCTGACATTATACCCTGACGGTACACCCTGACATTATACCCTGACGGTACACCCTGACAATATACCCTAACGGTACACCCTGACATTATACCCTGACGGTACACCCTGACATTATACCCTGACGGTACACCCTGACGGTACACCCTGACATTATACCCTGACGGTACACCCTGACATTATACCCTGACGGTACACCCTGACGGTACACCCTGACGGTACACCCTGACGGTACACCCTGACATTATACCCTGACGGTACACCCTGACATTATACCCTGACGGTACACCCTGACATTATACCCTGACGGTACACCCTGACATTATACCCTGACGGTACACCCTGACATTATACCCTGACGGTACACCCTGACATTATACCCTTACGGTACACCCTGACATTATACCCTTATGGTACACCCTGACATTATACCCTGACGGTACACCCTGACGGTACACCCTGACGGTACACCCTGACAATATACCCTGACGGTACACCCTGACATTATACCCTGACGGTACACCCTGACATTATACCCTGACGGTACACCCTGACATTATACCCTGACGGTACACCCTGACATTATACCCTGACGGTACACCCTGACGGTACACCCTGACATTATACCCTGACGGTACACCCTGACATTATACCCTGACGGTACACCCTGACAGTAAACCCTGACGGTACACCCTGACGGTACACCCTGACATTATACCCTGACGGTACACCCTGACATTATACCCTGACGGTACACCCTGACATTATACCCTGACGGTACACCCTGACATTATACCCTGACGGTACACCCTGACATTATACCCTGACGGTACACCCTGACGGTACACCCTGACATTATACCCTGATGGTACACCCTGACATTATACCCTGATGGTACACCCTGACATTATACCCTGACGGTACACCCTGACAATATACCCTAACGGTACACCCTGACAATATACCCTGACGGTACACCCTGACATTATACCCTGACGGTACACCCTGACATTATACCCTGACGGTACACCCTGACATTATACCCTGACGGTACACCCTGACATTATACCCTGACGGTACACCCTGACATTATACCCTGACGGTACACCCCTGATGGTATACCCTGATGGTATACCCTGACAGTACACCCATGATGGTATACCCTGACAGCACACCCTGACGGTACACCCTAACACCACCCCGACGGTACTCCCTGGCACCACCCTGGCAGTACACCCTGATGCTACCCCAGAATGCTACACCCAGATGCTACACCCTGACCTTACATCCTGACCATACACTGACGTTACACCCTTGCACTGCACCCTGATGATACACCCTGATGTTACACCCCTGGCACTATATCCTAGCCTTACACCCTTGTGCTACACCGTGACATTATTCCCTGATGCTATATCCTGACACTACACCCTGATGCTACACCCTGACACTACACCCTGACCTTACACCCTGGTGCTACACCGTGACGAGGACTTTACGAGGATGTGAAGATACATCTGGGTACTTATGTGATGCATTTTTATACCTGACTTTTACTCTCAACTTAACTGTATGTATATATTTAAAAATGTATTGTACTTACATTAATTACTTTAGAACTGAGTAACCTAATATGTATATTAAGTTATTCAGTTAAGTTATACTTATTATTACTGTATCTACCCCATATGGGTAGATACAGTAATTGTATACATACATGTGTATGCCAAAGTGAAACATGTAAACATAAAATACTTCACCAGTGGGTGGCCTTTAACCCGTACACTGCTAAGCATAAGGGGGTGGGGGAGCAAAAAATATTCAAATTATGTCAAAATTACTTAAAAATGTTAAACAAATCTCCAGCTTATTGGCTTCAGCGTCATGAAACTTTCTTCAAAATATTTTCAGAAATTTATTTTAAACAAATTTTTTAAAAAGAAGAACGTTTGTTGATAAGGAGAACAGATCCTATTAACTGGGATTCAAACAGTTGAACTGGACAGTAGAGCGACGGTCTCGCTTCATGCAGGTTGGCGTTCAATCACTGACTGTCCACAAGTGGTTGGGCACCATTCCTTTCTCCCCTCCCATCCCTAATCCTTATCCTGACCGGTGATATATAGTCGTAATAGCTTGGCACTTTCTCCTAATAGTTCTTTTCCCTTCCTATTAACTGGAACTGATGGATAATGCAGTAATAAAGAGATGCAAGCACCTGTCCGTCGCACAAAGCAGAAGAATAATAGTAAGAAGTGTCCACAAAGGGGATATGCAGCTGGTGCCTTTATAGCATTGCTGAGTAATACATAATAACACCAATAATAATGAGTAACTATGTTATTATGCTCTATTATGTTATATATCCTATAAATACTTTGTCCAATGTTTATATCTGTTACTTTTAGCAGTGTTCCCTCAAAAAATTTGTTTGGGGGATTATTTTTTTTGTTTGTTTATTACCTGATTTTGTTGTAACCTCTCCATCCTGGAGAGTACATACTCGTCCCTAACTATGTGAAGATAGAATGAAATTGGTCAACAAATAAATCAGTCACAACTTGCAGAACTTAGGACTTTAAATTTTTGGGGTGCTGATTTTTTCACAGATTTCACTCTATTTTCTTTGTCTCTTTAGGTTGTTTTGATGATTAGGGACCAAATTAGGGCTTTTTCACTTATATAAAGTATTCCCTAAATATATCCTCTAAATCATTATAATTATCCCTATATTTTGTGTTTTTGGGGGGTTATTTTTTCTTGAATTCATTTCAACACATTAACCTGCAACTTACACATATTCCAGTACGAATGGCAAACAATGTTTATTAAAACATACAAGTAAATTCATGAATTAGAACTACCTTATTCATTGTCAATAACTTCAAATTCAATTATCTCTAAAACTAGAGTTCCGACTTTCAACCGCTTCAAAAAATTCGGTTTCTGTTGACCAGACCACACACTAGAAGGTGAAGGGACGACGACGTTTCGGTCCGTCCTGGACCATTCTCAAGTCGATTTGTGATGAGGAGGTAGATACAGGCAATAAATAGGCAAGAGAGAGCTGAGGAGGAAAGTAAGGTGTAGGGGATAGTAGTAATAATGAGAACTGCAGAAGGCCTATTGGCCCATACGATGCAGCTCCTATTATAACCACCGAAGGAGAAGTAAAGGTTGTTTTCAGTTTTTGACCGATTCTCACAGGGGGTCAGAAACTACTTTTTTACATATAGTGTGCACAGCTGTCTGTTCTTATAATCCCATAGAATGTATGTTTCATAAACCCTAAATGATTGGAGTTATAATTTTTTTATCTAAATTTGGTGCATATTTCAAATGCCATATTGACGATTTTGTTTACAGTAAACTATACTGAAAACCTATATTCTCAACTTGTGAAAATGAAGATCATATTCTATTCTGAGAGCATAACAACACCAAATGAAGAATTGATGATATATAATATTTTTGCAGCTGATTTGAAAATCTGAAATTTTCAATATTCAATTTTATAATTATTTTTAATTTTCTTGTTTTTGAAGCTACATTTGTGATCATTTAGACAAAGATGGAGCATTTGCCTAGTAGATTATGCACAAAACATTTGAAAGCATTTCAGCAAATTTTAAAAACTGAGTGATATGTCCTGTCGTATATATATGCCTTGCGCAGTTTAAGAGTTAATCTTCACCACCCTTCCTCCCTACTCTTCACCACTTTCCATATCCTTCACTACTTTCCTTACCCTTCACCACCTTCCTTACCCTTTACCACATTCCCTACCCTTCACCACCTTCTTTACCCTTCACCACCTTCCTTACCCTTTACCACCTTCCCTACCCTTCACCACCTTCTTTACCCTTCACCTTCCTTACCCTTCACCACCTTCCTTACCCTTCACCACCTTCCCTACCCTTCACCACCATTCCTACCCTATAACACCGTTCACCACCGCAACTCTGGGTTGGGACTTTGTGACCAGATTGTCACCAATCTGGTGAGCACTGATTACAAATCCTCAATGATCAGGGTCGTTGGTCTCCTCTCTCCTGTTGGGCTCACAGTATGGTCTGGGAGTTTGTGGCCATGTGGCATCCTTATGTAGGACAGACGTAAATCTGTGTATCTATGTAATTATCTAAGTGTAATTACGTAAGTGTAGTTACAAGATGAAAGCTACGCTCATGGTGTCCTGTTTTCCCAGCACTCTTTGCTGTATAATGCTTTGAAAGTTCAGTACTAACAGTTTTGGCCTCTACCACCTTCTCACCTAGCTTGTTCCAACCATCTACCATTCTGTGAATTTTCTTATATTTCTTTGGCAGCTTTGTTTAGTTAGTTTAAATCTATGACCTCTTGTTCTCGAAGTTCCAGGTCTTGGAAAGTCTTCCCTATAAATTTTATTGATTCCTGTTACTATCTTGTACGTAATAATCATATTGCCTCTTTTTCTTCTATTCTCTAGTTATGGCATGTTTAATACCTCTAACCTCTCCTTGTAGCTCTTGTCCTTCAGTTTTGGGAGCCACTTAGTTGTATGTCTTTGCACCTTTTCCAGTTTGTTGATGTGCTTCTTAAGATATGGGCTACCATACAACTGCTGCATATTCCAGCTTTTGCCTAACAAATGTTGTGAACAGTTTCATTAGTATTTTGCCATCTGTGTATTTAAAAGCAATTCTGAAGTTAGAAAGCATAGCATAGGCTTTTCGCACAATGTTCTTTATGTGGTCTTCGGGTGATAGTTTTCTAACCACTCCTAGATCTCTTTCTTTATCAGAAGTCTTTAAAGATTTCCCACATAATTTATGGGTTGTTTTGTGTGTACTGTATGTATGTAGGTTAGATTAACATTTTAAAAGCACTACAATCACCTGTGATTGATCAATAAATCCCTGAACTATATATTTAACAGAGCTCTCACCCTGTCAGTGGAGGACAGAAGAAAATGTATATATGCTGGTGAGCATTGTAAATGTCTGGCCACGTCTCTGATAGAAATTAATACAAGAAAACAAAAAAACTGCGGAAGGTTCAGATTCCTCTGGGCTCCGTGCTCTGGCTCCACTTGGACTGTTCCCTGGTGGTTTCCCAGACTCAACCTCAAGGTTCACTTCTGTCCTGGCTCTTTGGGGCTGGATGCTCCATTTCTTGATCAATGCTGCATACTGTTGCCTTGTATCATGTAGCACTTGCAGCTTGTGTTTAGGGAGCCGGTCGGCCGAGTGGACAGCACGTTGGACTTGTGATCCTGTGGTCCTGGGTTCGATCCCAGGCGCCGGCGAGAAACAATGGGCAGAGTTTCTTTCACCCTATGCCCCTGTTACCTAGCAGTAAAATAGGTACCTGGGTGTTAGTCAGCTGTCACGGGCTGCTTCCTGGGGGTGGAGGCCTGGTCGAGGACCGGGCCGCGGGGACACTAAAAAAAAAAAAAAGCCCCGAAATCATCTCAAGATAACTCAAGAAGATAACTAGCATTGATACTACCTCTCACCATTTTGCAGGTTGTCTTGTGGTTTGTTAGCCTGCTCTTACACTGCCCGAGCCTGCATAGTCTGTGGGCTGTGTTCTTGCTTTTCTTTTCTCTTCTCATTCTATGGTGTCCCTTTCGGTCTGTAATTTTGTTTTCCAAGGCCATACCACCGTCTCAACTTTTGGTGTCTCGTGCCGCAGGTTGTGATGGGAAGCTTCATGCTCTTCTCAGGAGGCATCTATCTTGAGGTTATCTTAGAGTTGATTTCGGGGCTTTAGTGTCCCCGCGGCCCGGTCCTTGACCAGGCCTCCACCCCCAAGAAGCAGCCCGTGACAGCTGACTAACACCCAGGTACGTATTTACTGCTAGGTAACAGGGGCATTCAGGGTGAAAGAAACATTGCCCATTTGTTTCTGCCTCGTGCGGGAATCGAACCCGCGCCACAGCCACAGAATTACGAGTCCTGCGCGCTATCCACCAGGCTACGAGGTCCCATAGTTTCATAGTTTCTGTTCTTTTGGCTCTGGTTCAAATGCAATTTTCTTCAATTTGCAGCTGGCTCCTGTTTTGGCGAAGAATGAGTTGGTTAGCTTTGGGAGGGGTTCTCTGATTATTGATGTTTGGTTGGTTCAGCTGGGGGTTCATCATGTGCCATGTCCGATGTCGGCTCTCCGCTGCTATCTTTGAGCCACCGATTCTGCTTTGGTGGATGCTTTATAGATTGATCCTATTTGCTTGGTTCCTCTGTTCCAAGGCTTGTATTTCTCTGGTCTTCTGTGGTGTTAAGTGTAGCCAGTCTGCAGTCTTCCCGCATGCCCATAATATTCAGAAAAATGCCGCTTTCACAGCTGTGCTTGATAATATGTCCTGGGTCGATATTCGTCTGTGTTTTTTTTTGCAGTCCTTATGGCATCTAAAGCCAAAAATCGTCATACTAGAAAACATTAGCAGCTTGCAGAATTGACATACTCTACTATCCCATTTTATGTTTTGGCCCCTCTGGTAGGTTAGGATAGAGGACTTCATACAACAGTTTCTTGACTTTGGGAAACCTTAGGACGACGGGCTGCTTGTGTGGCCTTGGGTCATGTCTCGTCTAGGGGCCTCTTCTCCGTCCTGATTCCTGTGATTTTTTCTCCTCACTGTTAACTTCCCACGTGTTATCCTTTATGTGCAATCATATTTGATTTCCAAAAATATGTGGTCGCTCTTGTCCAGTGGAGGAAGGTGATGAATGTCAATTATCTCCTCTTCTTTCCTGATAAATACTAAATTCAGCAAAGTTAGAGCATCACCTTCTCTCATTCTTGTGGGCTGTTTTACATATTGGTGCATAAAAGACTCCAGGATTAGGTTTACTAATAGGCCAGTCCAAAAGTCCTATGTTTTTGGTTCATAGGCTTCGCAGTCTATTGATTTTATATTGTTATCACCAACTATTTAATAATCATGATTTATCTTTATCTGTTTTTACAATAATCTCTCGTGATCATTATAAGACCCACTCTTTTGTTATCTAGTTCCTGAGCTGACTGACTGACAGAAAATTACTGCTACTACTGTGTGTGTGCGTGTTTTTATTTAGTAATATTCTCAAACTTACTCATTCCAATGTAAACTAATCACTCCAACAGATGGCATCTATAACAATGCAGCGCTTCTGTCAGTTTGGGATTCGACTCCAACCTTCAATTGCAGCCTCAGGCCAATATTTATCTAGGGGCTTTGGAATATCCAGCATAAGGAACACTGCAACATATAAAGCCGCTGTCTTGCAAGAGTTTGGAAAAGACTTAGTCATGCAAGATCTTGAGAGAAAGAAAATACAACGGGGTCAAGTAAGTAACTTTTCATTGAGTGAAACAAATGAGTTCTGTATTACAACCAACAATTGTAGAACATTTTGTGAGTTAATGAAAAGAAAGTATTAGCATGCATGAGATACAAATTCAGTATTGTTATATTGTGCTGTAGAGTGTAGGTGTATGTCAGGGTTAGTAGTAATTTTGATGATAATAGTAATAATTTTGGATAATAAAAATAATGATAATTATAATAATAATAATAATATAGGATAAAAACCCACATTTGTGTATTTGTGAAATTTATGTAAGGAATTTACACCAAGTCTTTCGCACTCTCCTGAGTGCTTTGTCAAGATCTGAGTGTTATCTTGAGGTTATCTTGAGGTTATCTTGAGGTTATCTTGAGATGATTTCGGGGCTTTTAGTGTCCTTGCAGCCCGGTCCTCGACCAGGCCTCCACCCTCAGGAAGCAGCCCGTGACAGCTGACTAACACCCAGGTACCTATTTTACTGCTAGGTAACAGGGGCATAGGGTGAAAGAAACTCTGCCCATTGTTTCTCGCCGGCGCCCGGGATCGAACCTGGGACCACAGGATCACAAGTCCAGCGTGCTGTCCGCTCGGCCGACCGGCTCCCTTGTGTGTGATTAGAACGAGACTTACATCTCAACGTCTAATCAATTGTCACAAATACACAATTGTGGGTTTTTTATCCTATGTTATTATGTCTGTGAGAAGACATTACCAGTACAGGGGTCCCTCAGTTTACGAATTTAATCTGTTCCTAGAGATGGTTCGTTTACGAAAATTCGTAAATTGAAGCGAATTTCCCCATATAAAATAATGGGAAATGAATTAATCCGTTCCAGACTCGCCAAAAAATTTACTTCAAAATAAATTTTATACCTAATTCACCCAAATTTTCACTACAAAAGTATGTACAAGTTATTACTTTCCTTTACTGATGACTCCTGTTGGTGTATGGAAGACGATGAGGAGGGGGGAGGAGAGTTGTTACTGTTTGAAAGGGAAGTCCCCTTCCATTATAACATCAGGCAGAGATGACTTCTCTTGGGCACACACACTGGCATGTTTGGCCTGCATACCACTAGGACCTGCTTCTGGCTCACTGCTTGATTTTCTCACTAGAAATCGTTTCATTGAAGATTGTTTTTCCCCTTCTTTGTAACAGTTGTCTGTAGTGAGACATCACATTTGTCATTAATAATATCAATGCAATGGCTTGCTACAGCTTTATCTGGGTGATTCTTTTCAGCAAAACTTTGCAGTTCGTCCCATACTGCACACATTTTATTTATTAACCCGTCAATTGCGCATCGCATCATATGATGCTTTGACCGACTTGCAGTAAATTGCGCATCGCATCATGTGATGCTTTGGAGTACTACGCAAGATTTAAACGGCCTGTGGATACACGGGGTTCACCACACCTTCATCGGGGCTCTTGTAAACAGACGCCATTTAAAAAAAAAATCGTGGGCCAAACTCCCGGGTGTTATTGGCCTCAGTATTGAGTGAGCAACCAAGCCTGACGCACGCAGCATGAGCTAACAGCACTGCTGTTCAGCTTGTGACCACAGCATCGCCTAAAAATGTCAAAATATACTTGTTCATGCTATTGTGTAGCGATGATATTATTACAGAAGACCCCTGACTGTGATAAAACTGACCAGGGTTCTGATAATAGCAGGATTGTGGTGATATTTAGCGCTGTGCGCCATGGAGGGAGGAGTAATGCTGTGGGAGGGAGGGTGGTGGTGATGTCTTCTGACTGTGTGTGGCCACCTTTTATTGACTGCACTCAGCATACCAGCTTAGTGGTTCGCTATGGTGAACACAAATGTAGATACTTATATATAATGTGTGTATAGAGGGTATAAACAGCAAGAGAAGGTTTGGAGCCGCCATTTTGGTGCGGGCGGTGGCGTCGTCTGCACGACGCCACCGCCTGCAGAAGACAGTGTTGTTTACTGGTTACCACGATGGTCTTTGGGCACCATACCAGTTTATTTGTATAAGTATGGTGAATAAAACAGGTAGATATTTATATATAATGTGTGTATATAGCGTAATAACACCACACAGTACTGTTGGAGGAGAAATATTAGTGTGTCTGGCCTTGAGGGCGGCAGCCATCAGCTGACTGTGTGAGGTCCTACGTCTTTGTGCCTTTACTCACCATACAAGCTTAGATGTACAGTTATGGTGAACAAAACATGTAGATACTTATATATAACGTCTGTATATAGTGAATTATAGCAAAAACATTATTGTGGGAGGAGAATGTGGGTGAGTCAGATGACTGGAGGGAGGGCGGGAGTGGCTGGCTGGTACACGGCGGTCACTCCTCGTTACTTTTTGACTCATAATAGCTACTTAGTGGTTCGTTATAGTGAATAAAACATGCAGATACTTATATATAACCTGTGCTTATAGTGTAATAACCGACAAAGTATTTGTTCACTGATTGATGAACATAATTGAATCAACAATATGCACACCATATTTTTGAGTACAGCGCTGATTCACTCATTTTATTATATAAATATATCACACTACACACTATTGAATAATATTACAGCAAAAAAACTACGAAAAATCAATCAGAGACATTGAAATAATTAGGTAATTATCTCTTTGTGGTAACTCTGGCCTGACAGCTGGCGATCAACAGACCGCCTGGGACGCATGCTGAGTCAGCGCCTATTTTTTGCCAGAATTCCCCGCCCTATACCGGGCAATATATGCCACTTACGATTTTTTTATTATTTTTCCCGTGATCAGTGAACACAAATTAGCAGGTTAGGAAGAAAAAAAGATTTTTTTTTTTTTTTTTTTTTGGTATGCGCCTGTGGGTGTCAAATGGTATATAGCTATGCGCCATTTAACCCTTAAACTGCGCAACGCGCCTGCAGGCTCACGTCTGGTTTGTGCAACGCGCCTCAGGGTATTTGTATTTTTCACGTTCCATTCAAAACTCCCGCGGCTACATGGGGTTCACATCAGCTTCCTCAGGGCTCTTGTAAACAGACGCCATCTTTAAAAAAAATTGTGGTCCACATTCCCGGGTGTGGGAGCCTCAGTAGTGTGTGAGCAACCAAGGCTGGCGCTCGCATCATGAGCGCACAGCACTGCTGTTCAGCATGTGACCACAGCATCGCCTAATAATGTCAAAATATATATATAACTTGTATTATTTAGCTATGATAGTGTTATATTAGAGCCTGAGTGTGATAATGACTGGTACAATGTTCAAATATCAGTGATTCAATGCTGTTCACGATGTTCACAGTGCTAGCCACAGCACCACAGCATTATTTCGTTCATTTAGGAATCTTCAAATAATTTCTTAGGTTCCTTTTCAAAATAAACGTGTGGTCAATTATTCATTTACAAGAATTAGTGACCAGGATTGTGATAATAGCAGAATTGTGGTTGTAATTAGCGTTGTGCGTAGTATTGTGGAAAGAGGAATTTTGATGAGGGAGGGAGGGCGAGAATTGAGGTAGCCTCATTGTGTGTGGCTGCCACTCTTGTTTTGCTCACCATACTAGCTTAGTGGTTCGCTATGGGCAACACATATGTACATGGGTATATATAGTGTGTGTATATAGTGTAAGAACAGCAACATGAGAATGTTGAGAGGAGCTATTTTGGTGAGGGAGGTGACGTAATCGTAGTGTCGTCTGCTGTGTGATTTTTCATGCAGTGTATGGTGGCCACTGTACTGTTTGGACACAATACCGGCTTACTTGCATAGTTCTGGTAAATAAAACATGTAGATAGGTATATAGAACATGTGTAATAAGAACTATAGCAATATGGTGGGAGGAGCAATGTTGGCGAGTAAGATGTTGGAGGGAGGGAGACTGGTTGGGTGTGGCTGCTCTCACTCGAGGTGTTCTGAATGTGTTCATGGCCAAATGCTCCTATTGGCCCATACGAGGCAGCTCCTATTGGCCCATATGCGGCAGCTGCTATTGGCCCATACGAGGCAGCTGCTATTGGCCCATACGAGGCAGCTGCTATTGATCCATACGAGGCAGCTGCTATTGGCCCATACGAGGCAGCTGCTATTGGCCCATATGAGGCAGCTGCTATTGGCCCATATGAGGCAGCTGCTATTGGCCCATACGGGGCAGCTGCTATTGGTCCATACGAGGCAGCTGCTATTGGCCCATACGAGGCAGCTGCTATTGACCCATACGAGGCAGCTGCTATTGGCCCATACGGGGCAGCTGCTATTGGCCCATACGGGGCAGCTGCTATTGGCCCATACGAGGCAGCTGCTATTGGCCCATACGAGGCAGCTGCTATTGGCCCATACGAGGCAGCTGCTATTGGCCCATACGGGGCAGCTGCTATTGGCCCATACGAGGCAGCTGCTATTGGCCCATACGAGGCAGCTGCTATTGGCCCATACGAGGCAGCTGCTATTGACCCAGACGAGGCAGCTGCTATTGGCCCATACGGGGCAGCTGCTATTGGCCCATACGAGGCAGCTGCTATTGGTCCATACGAGGCAGCTGCTATTGGCCCATACGAGGCAGCTGCTATTGGCCCATACGAGGCAGCTGCTACGCGATGTTCTGAATGTGTTGATGGTAAATGTATATAGTGTGTGACAGTGTATAGTGAGTACATGTGTTGTAAATATACATAAATGAACATGAAACATTGGTGTGAATAACTGTATGATGGGAGGGGCAAAGTTGGCGAATACAATGTTGGAGAAGTGAGGGAGGGCTGGCTGGGTGTGGCAGCTCTCACTCGCGGTGTTCTGAACGTGTTGATGGTGAATGTATAAAGTGTGTGACAGTGTATAGTGTGTAAATAGATTGTATATATACACAAATTAGCATGATACATAGTAAATATGTGCTGCATATGTGTACACAAGTTTCATGCACGTAACACAGTGTCTACGGACAGTGCAAATGTTGTACTGCGATATTATAGTGTACGTGTTCATTGTACATTGGATTGGCACATAAAAACAATGAAAATGTATTT